TTCATACTCCATTTGAATCAAATGTATGATATGTCAAGATCATTGTATTGTCCCAATATCTTTTAAGACTCCTGGTTCTCCTGGAAGTACACAGTGATGTCTGCATCTCATCTTCAGATGCAAAGTTCTCTATGCTGTCTGATGATGCAAACTTCCTTATTCTACTTGTGACTTCACTTTCTAAAGTTCTCCTCCCCCACAGGCTGGAGGGCATCTTTCAAAATGACCTGACTTATATGTCAGCCATGCTCCTGCTCAAGTATTGCTTTCCAAATACAGGAGAAGTTCAAATGAGGCAGCTTATCCCATCCATTAAGTTAAATTTCAAGCTTTGCTGTTATTCCTCACCATGGGAAGATCCAATCATTGGTATCTGCAAAGGCTAGTTTATGAAACCTAAATATCACTAACTTGGTGCTGAAGGTGCTGTATCTTTTATTGGGCTCTGATATAAACTAATTTATTCTCCTGTGGGAAGATGAGCTGGTGAAATCATTTATTTTGTATGATTTTATTGTTTGATGAATGCATAGTAACAGACTCTTTGGTCCCAATTTCTTTTCAAAGCCTTTTAGCATAATGGTTACATGTTTTGTTTTGGCATATCAAGTGTCTACTGGTAACTATAATTGTGTATATTTATCCTCAATAGGAGGATAATTATAGGAATATCAGTGTTTTAAGGATTAAATCAGAGAAGTATTTAAACCCTCAAGTTACTTCTATAACTCAATGAATATTTAACAACAGTTATTTTGGTGCTATTATTTCTCTGGGAAAATGAGTTATCCAGAAAAAAAATGATGATTTCTACAAATTTTCATTAAACACATGCTCAAGGAATTTTATAGTTTAGTAATGGAGACAATTAATAGGCAAAGTAAAAAAATGCAGATTGTGATCAGTACTATGAAGCCATCAATTTCCTGTTTATAGCATATAAAAAGTGCAGATAGCAACTAATGTAGAAAAGTCATCCAGGCATGGCCAGGGTGAGAAGATGATGTTTGGATTGAAATTTAAAAGGTGAAATAAGCTATGGCGAATATTAGGTAGAGGGGGGAATTAAGCGAGGACTGTAGGCAGAGGACGGCATATACAAAGCCATGCAGTTGGGCCTGATTTCTGGAACTCCAGGGTAGCATGCCGGTATGAGGAGGAAGATCTTCCTTGTTAATGATGCTTTGGAGTGTGGAATTCCTATGGGATAGCCTCACAAGGAGCCTGAGGAGCAGGGGACACCCCTGGAATGTGGCTAAAGCAAAGAGTGGAGATTTATGAGATATAAGCAGGGGGTATTCAAAATTTAAAGGGTACATTAATGGAGCAAAAAGCCAAAATGTACAGAAATATTTTCAAAGAAAAGATTAAAATTTATCATTTTATGGAACATATATCTTGGGAGATATAGATTGACATTTAAAAATACTGTGCATATGATTCACTATATCTGTAAAATAAATGTTAACCAAAATCATATCAATAATACAGTGGTGAAATTAGTGTTATGAAAGAGTGAAACACTAGGTATTTAAAAATACTTGAAGTGTAAAACTAAATGAGCTTTTGTTTACTTTTTTAATTCAATGATCTCATCTATGTATGTTACAGAAAGGTGCACATTGTCTTTGTGATGCATGTAATATCAACGAATTTAAAGATATATCAATAAAATGACAACTGTACATATTTCTTATCAATTTTTTTTCAGTTTTACTATCTTAAGAGTGTAATAATTAGGCTTTTCCCCCTATCAAACTTAAAGCTATATTAAGTCTATGGGAATATGAAATCCTTAGATGAAAATGTAAAAATTCCAGAAAAATGTGTGATTAATCTTCTCAGTGACAAACATTCACAAGCTGTACCAAAATTTGGAGTCAGAATCTTCTATGTAATTGTAAGAACTCTCAATGAACAATGTCAATCAAGTTTTGTCTTCTTATACACCTCTTTTAATCCTAGATAAAATGTTTTATCAGTTTGAAGATGAGTTCATGTTTATAATCATATGTGAAACTGTAAAGACAGAAATAAAAAAATGAATAATCCAATTTACAACATAGAGACTCAGATTTAAATAACCCTTTATGATAGGAATCTGGGAATCTATTTTTAAAAGTTCATTCTAGCACACATATGCGCACACACACATGCACACATACACTAGGACTAACCCTCTCATATTTAATATGTATATGAATCTCTTCTACAATTTGTTAAAATAAAGATTCTGATTTGAGGATCTGGGTGGATCCCAGGGTTCTGCATTTCTACAAAGCTCCCAGGGGATACTGTTGCTGGTGGTCCAAGTCTTCTGGACAGATGGCTTTGTAACAATGTTTTGAAACTTTCCAGAAATGAGAAGCCCAAAAGCTTTTCTTGGCACTGACACTCAGACATTATCACTCAGATGACCAAAAATAAAACCTTTCTGTATTATGGTTTTTTAATTTGAGAGTAATTTCAATTTCACTTCTTTCCCTCTTTAAGAATATCATTTTAAACTAAAGGGCACCAGGAGGAGTAATAATCTCTAAATGCTGTTGCATTTAAAGAAGTGCCTTTTGCTAGAAGTTCAAATGTGTATTTACTCTCATCCCACACAAGGGTCAAATGGACCTGAGTCATTGTTAGTCTCTTTCTTCTGGGACATCCTCAAGGAGTTGACAATACCCCGGAATGTCTCACCTAATGGTCATTATCCCCAGATAGCCCACCTGTGAACACAGGGGTTCTTACCTCCAGCAGAGGCCAGAGAAAGAAATAGCCAGCCTTGAAAAAGGATCATATTTTTTTAAAGACAAATTAGGAACTAATTCCAGATTATGCACCAGTCCCATTAATTTAGCTCTCAGCTGAGAGAGAGCCTTAGAGAAGAAAAACCTCATTTATTTATAATACAGTGGCTCATTATTTTTCTTCCTGAAAAACATCTGTTTTTAGTTCTTCTGAACCATATTATACAAAAGCCTTGAAGTAGCATCTTTAGAATCAGATTCGAGAGCTGTTGTTATGAATCAGCAGTGGTCACTCTATAATGACAGTGATATTGGGCCTAATTGCTGTGTCAGGCGTTGTGCTACATACTTAATAAGCATTATCTTAATCTTACATAAGACTATGAGCTGAATACTAGTATTTCCTACATTTTAAAAAATGAGAGTTTTGAGGCTTATCAAGGCTAAAGTAACTTGTCTCAGGTCATTAAACAGTAAGTGACAGACATATGAATGAATCCAGAAAGCAGACCATGGTGACAGCAGATGGGCCTCTGAGTTAAAAGAACTTAAAATTTTCTTTGCCAGAGAGCTGTTCCTCCCCTATGCTAGTAAGATTTGGGTCACAGGATTATAGTTCTATTACACAGAATTTAACAACGCCCTGGAAAAATGAAGAATTGAGCCCTTAGAGGGGATTTCCTAGCAGAGGACTGGTCTCAATGCCCACAAGAGGCCTTCCTCTTTGAGAGCTGGTTGAAACATTGCCCAGCCCATCCTACCCACTATGGACACTATGAAATTAATGCTTGTTTAAAGTTTCTGCGCTCGCTGAAGTGTAAGATGTAAAATGCTGACTATTTTAGGCTTTTTGTACATGTATTTTTATAATGCTTCCTAAAACTTTAAAACACAATGAAAGAGGAGGTTACAGTACTTGCTTAATAAATTGAGATATACTAGTGATTGCTCTAAAAATTTCATCTTCAGTCCTTATCCTCAAGCCACATTATTCACATAATCACCATTTTCTCCAATATTTATTAATCTAAATATTGTGTGTGTATGTGAATGTTTTAAAACTGTGGGTGATTGAGAAAAGATAACAAATATGGTTTGAGAATATAGGTATTCAGGGTAATGTGGCAATTTAATATCTGACATTAAAAAAAACCTACTCTAGACCACATATCCACATATTCAGGAATATAAACTGAAATTGGATATAGGGTGGGAAATTTTGTATTTTTTTCTTTTTAAATTTTGTCCAAAAAATATTCACTGAGTGCTCCTAAAAACAAAAATGTCAGCTTTTACAAGGGTTCCTATTTTTCCTAGATCAGACAAATATAATCATCTTATGTGATGGCAGAGGTGGGTGTTGGAACTTAGGGCAGGGGAAGAAGTAAGCTCTGGGAAGTCCACTCACCTTCCAAATCCACACTTAGCTTCTATATCAAGTGTGTACGTGTGTGACGCAGGGTTGCGGGAGTTCTGTCAGATTTTAGTCATTTAAGACTGAATTACACGAATAGTATATGACTATCAGTCAAAACAGGTGTGTATTTATATGATTGCACTACATCAACCACTGTCTGAAATTCCAGCTCAGAAATGTTTGCAGAAATTAATGGTGACTTAAAGTCTGCAACTGCATTTTTTCTTCATAGTGCCAGGTTCTTAACAATCAAAGATGAATGAACTTCCCATGCCTTCAGTACAAGCAAGGAGGGGAAATACAAATGCACACATCCTGGGGGCAGAAGATGCAGCAAGACAAAGTTCTCCCTAGTAGTTCAATTGAGAGGGGAGAATGTCTGGCGGTCTGTGGGAGTGGATCTAATTATCACTCTCTTACTTTCATGAATAGGTTCCTTCTAAAAGAGGAGGAAGTAGACATTGTGCTTGAATTCTTAGACTACATTATGATAATTTAAGCATCCCATTCACAATTTTTTTTTAATAAGTCCTTCCTGAGGCTGGGCAGGTGGGTAGGAAGAACGTCAAACATGGGAAAGGCAGAAATAAATGATAACTCATGGTGTATTTATAGATGGTAGGGCAGAGCACCCTGGAAAACTGGAGAGATGCTTTAATATATTTTAATCCCCATCTGTACAGTTTGATCAGTTGGATTCAACATCAGGTGGATATATTTTTTTTCGTTTGTTTTCCACATTCCTGTAAACTTGCTTCATTTTTCCTTCACCATCAGTATTTTTTGGTAAAAGTCAACTCACACGTAATTTGTTTCTTGACCAATATTTTTTTTTTACTTAGCTTTACCAGTCAAAAATCCGATGACGACTATGAAGACTATGCTTCTAACAAAACCTGGGTCTTGACCCCTAAAGTTCCTGAAGGCGATGTCACTGTCATCTTAAACAACCTGCTGGAAGGATATGACAACAAACTTCGACCTGACATAGGAGGTATGATGAAGCCTCTCTGAGAGGACCACCTGAATGTGTCCACCTTATCAGAAGAAAAGCAGGGACATATTTCAAGAGCCAGAAAATTTTAAATTATACTTCTATGTTATAAAAAATAGAGAATGTAAATAGCATTCATGACTGGGTCAGAAGGGTATTGATCAGTTCTACATGAAAAAAAAAAATGATTTTCAAGTGAAGCTTGAGGACCAGAAATTCAAATTTTCTTAGTTATTCGGGACAAAAGCTGTAAAAAAAAATAGTGACAACTTCTTATGAAATACTATCAAAAAATAAGAAAAAATTAGAAAGGATACACTGGTTAACCTGCTGCTATGTAACAAACAAGGACCAAATTACTTGGCCAACAACAGAAAGCATTTCTTTAACACTGTACCCAGGGATAAACTAACTTGGCCCAAACCAGGCTGAGGCTGCTCATATGGGGCAGAGGTGCTCTAATCATCTTTCATTCTACTCTTGGAACTAGAATACTAGTTAGGAGAATCCTTTTCAAGGCAATAGAATAGAGCAAATGAGAAACTCGCAATGTTTAATGCTTAGGCTTAGAACTGGCAAATAAACTTTTGCCTATATATCATTACCCAGAGCAAGGCTGGTCAAGAATCTAGAGGTAGAGGAACAACATCACTGAGATGAAGGTCAGACTGCACATGCCAATATGCCTGAGGAATTCCATCCACTATGGAGTCTGGCATAGTTTTTCTGGGAAAATGAATAAAGATGAGAAAAAAATGTACTTTGTTGAATCAAAGCCCAGAATGCTATTATGAATCTTTGTTCATTAAATGCTAAATGAAAATGGAGCACCAGTATTTGGTCATGGATATTATATTATAGATTTTTATACCAGTCTTCACTGATAAATAGGTTTATAATGGGCTTCCATATGGTTTCCCCATCTTTTCTGTGTAGTTACAGCATGCGATAATTCACTGAGGGAGATTGATTTGGGGTTGGCTAGAGGTGTGTGAGGATAAAGTGGTCATAAAATGAATCAGCAGGGAGAAATGTTTCAAAAACAATTCATATTACTGGTGGCTCTTTATATCTACCTCATGTGTCTAATGTAGTTTTTTTTTTTCCTTGAGTTACTAACTAATTATTTTCTACATGGGTAAAGTCAGGTTAAGATATGAAAGTAGATCACAGAGTTTCAAGGTAAGATGGAAAAACTCAACCTGTCTTAGAGAAAAAAAATGAAAATAAGCTTTGAACAGTATCTTTTGATTTCTCCATTTTTATATAGTATCAAAAGGATAATCAGTTTCAAAACTCTACTATGCTTGTTTATTGCATTTACATCCACAAAAGGAGATATTCCTTTGAAAACATAGTTGTTATTCAAAGGTATTGAACTAGTAACTGGTACTAAATTAGTTGTGAATAAAATACTTCTAGTGTAGCTAAATGAGTCTATTCTAGAAAATAAAGACTAAAATGATAAAATTTTGTACCTCTCCATCTGTATATATCTCTGTGTTTCTCATTACAGTTAAACCAACATTAATTCACACAGACATGTACGTTAATAGCATTGGCCCAGTGAATGCTATCAATATGGTGAGTTTCATATTAAAATTGTCTATTTCGTTAGCATGGAAGTAACAAGGAGCATGTCAATACAGAAGATTAGGTTTAATGGGTTATGGTCTCATTGAATTTCTAAATACACAAATGGAGGAAGCCAAACAGAAAAGAGGATATGTATTTCAACTCAAGAGGAGAGTGAAGGGCTGGGGTTGTGGCTGAGTGGTAGAGTGCTTGCCTAGCACACGTGAGGCACTGGGTTCAATTTCCCTACCACACGTGAGGCACTGGGTTCAAACTTCACCACCACATAAAAATAAAATAAAGATATTGTGTCCATCTACAACCAATATATGTGTGTGTATGTATATATATATATATATATATACATATACATATAGAGTATTCCATATTTTTTAGAAAATTGATGTTGTGGGGATGACGTATATATATATATATATATATATATATATATATATACACACACACACACACACATATTTATAAATATAAATAATGAAAGAAAGTGAAATAAGTCAGACTGAGAAAGTCAAGAGTTGAATATTTTCTTTCATATATGAAAGCTAGAGAAAGGGAGGGAAAGAAAGGAAAAAGAAGGAGGAAGGTTGAAATGTCAAAAAAAATTGAAGAGAAAATTATAGAACAAAGGACAGGGATAGATAGGGAGTAAGGGGGTATGAGGAAATACTGGGGAAGAGAATTATGCTATGCACATGCAAAAATACAGCACAAAAAACCCATATATAGAAAATGCATTAATTAAAATAATAATAATAATAATAATAATAAGAAGAAGAAGAAGAAGAAGAAGAAGAAGAAGAAGAAGAAGAAGAAAAAGGAGATCAGTAAAGAAAGGAGATCTGAGGGATCGAGGAGGGAAGGAAAGCTAAGTTACTGTGGAATGAGGCTGATCAAATTACATTATGTGCATATGTGAATTTTGGCATAATGAATGCAACTAATTATGTATAATTATAACGCACCAATAAAACCTTTTTACAAAGATTAAGTTCAACATTTTGGAAGAGAAATAAAATCTTTCAGATTTGTTTTTTTCTCTTGTAATTTGATGGTAAATATTGAGGACCTTTTGTTATAAAAATTAAATGTAATAGAAAATTAATTTTTATAAAATGTTACAATATTATAATTCAGCTACTGTATGTATACTTGACAATTGCTAATTACAAGAAAATAAAATAGAGTATTCCACTATTTTTTAGAAAATTGATGTTGTGGGGATGACAGAGTTTATATCAAATTAGAAACCTTTTTCAGAGAAAATAGTTCATTAGTTATAATAATGAATGTAACTTTGTTCTTCAATAAAATTTTCCACCCAAATCTGAAATGAGAAAGTATGCTGAGTATATAGTATAAAGAATGGGGTCAACAAGTTATGATAATATGTAATATTATTTAAATAATAATATAATCTAGTGTGATATTGGCACATTTTAAAAAGTGTTTACCAAGCTAGCAATAACAACATTCTGTGATGAAACTATAGGGCACCCCTGCATAGCCCATACAAATTCCATTGCTTACTTCACCATGAACCATTCATTTTAACATGTTACATTTTTTACAAATAAAATTCTCAAAATCCTTAGTTTCTGGTATAAATTTTAAATATTTAATAACGGGAATCTATAGGTATCAGTGTAGGCAGTTTATTTAAACTTAGAATCTTTGTTTTGTTTAGGAATTAGAGTCTCCAGAACTGACCCAAGGTCACAGTTTCTAAAATGCTGGTGTTAAAACTCAGATGTTTTCAGTTCTGTTTGATTTTTTTGTGGGATTTTTTATTTTGGGGTTTGTTTTCTATTTTGGTCAAAATATATCCAAAATTTTGGTACAGGAAAAGACACAAAACAGTGTAGATATTGTAAAATAAGCACATCTGGCAGTGCATATTCTCTAACAAATCAATGATTTCCCTGGTTCATTGTGTTTAACGTAAAACAGAGTGTTAGGGACTGGGCTGGGGAACGTGGGTGACTTTTTTCCCTATCTCTGACCATCTAAGAATACTAAGCTGTTTCTACTTTCTTTAATTTTCCCATCATAGACATAATTAAAATCAAGTTACAAAAAATTGTGAGACTTAATTAGGATTCATTATTAGGAATGATGCCAATATCAAATAATTCAATCTGTAGTTTATGGTAATAATAGTTTATTATTTGTTGTATTTACACATAGGTAGTTTATTAGATGAGATGTTGCATGAAAAGTATTTAGCCAGAGGACTAACATCAAATAAGTACCCAATGGAATAAACAAGAAAACAAGAATAAAAGGAGAGCAGCCTTGTGATTAAGGGCTGGATGGTGGCAATGGTGGTGATAAAGTTGAGAAGTACAGCATCATAGCATTACAGAGCTGGAGGGGCCTAAGCATGTATTGAATTGATTGCTAGTTTGTGAAAATGAGGGAAATGAGGCCCAGGGAGTAAAGGGTTTTCCACAAAGACTTCCACTAAATGTGACAGTCCCACTGGAACTTGAGTATTGTGACTCCAGGCCTAATGGTCTGAATTCCACAGCACCTTTGTTTTTCTTTGACTGAAGTTAATGATTTTTCTGGTTTAGTGACATATGCTTGAGGGGAATCATTATAGGCATTTAAGAATAGGCTTTGTGATAGAGATTAGTGCAATATTAGAAATGATTTTTATTTCATTAATTTCATCTTCTTTAGACAAAGCAAAAGCAGCTATAATAGTGAAAAAAATGAGTCACTTTTTATTGATTGTTTGCTGTCTGCCATGCATGTGTGAAGAACTTCATGTGCATTCACTTTTTCTATGTTGACAGGACCTGACTCCTTAGATTTCTTAGAATCTCCATTTTATTATGAGTTATCTGAAGCTCCAGTTTAGTACTGTTTGGGTATTCTAGACTTTGTTTCACTCTACAATAATGATTCTGAACCTAGTAAGTTTTGTTTCTTAGGAGATATTTGGCGATGTCTGGAGGTCATTTTTGGTGTCACAACTTGCTGGAGTTACAATGCAGTGGAGTGGTTGCTGCTGCTGTCTAGAATATAAAAGTAAAGAATGCTGCTAAACACACTATGATGCATGGGTCAGTTTTCCACAGCAAAGAATTAGCTGGCACTGCAAACTCTGTTGTCTAGACATGGGAAGCAAGGAATGATGTCAGGGCTCTGAACTTTTGTCAGAATATATTTATAAACGTCTTTTTAAAAAATAAAAATATAAAACTGCTTGCAAAAGATAATAGAGGCAATGGCCTGTAAACAAAGCTCTTGCTTTCTCTTGGAGTATTCAAAGCCAAGTACTTTCCTTCATATTGTCAATATGTGCAAGAATAAAATATGCAAAATATATTTTATTATATTAACATGTTCTGTGTTATCTATCTTTCTCTTTAAAACAGGAGTATACAATTGATATATTTTTTGCCCAAACATGGTATGACAGACGCCTGAAATTTAACAGTACCATTAAAGTCCTCCGATTAAATAGCAACATGGTGGGGAAAATCTGGATCCCAGATACTTTCTTCAGAAACTCCAAAAAAGCTGATGCACACTGGATAACCACTCCTAATAGGATGCTGAGAATTTGGAATGATGGTAGAGTGCTCTACACCCTAAGGTATTCTTTTGGAAAAGAAGCCCAGTAATCACTAGGGATATAACAAAAATCTACCACACTATCTTTATGAAAGAAAAAATAAAATTTCCAGCCCATATGAGGGTTGGGGTATCTGATGAAAATAGCATAGAACATCACCAAGTTTTTCTATCTGTTATCAATAATCTTCATTAAGGTTCTAATCATAGGCAGAACTAATTTTCTGTTAATAATGTAAGTACACTGTTTTCTTACAACTGGTATGAAATGTCTCTTACCTGTATGAGATCTTCTGACTTTTATACCATTCTTGATGTTTTGGATGTGAGTCCTGCTAATTTAGAAGATAGAAACTAAAGTAGTTATCTTGGGGACCACCACTTCTTGTGTTTGAATATGTCCTCATTTCTAAGGAAATCATTGCTAAAGGAGAAGATTTGATGTGGGAGCCTCCACACATTGTTTTTCTTTTAGCTGAACAATGGCAAGCACTTAGAATTTATTATCTTCCATCTCCCATCCCTCTTCCCTATGACATTGCCAAGGTTGTGTGACATAATTTATTATCTAGTTTAGGATTAGGCATCTTTTGGAAGAGTTGAAGAAGCCATTTTATATCTTCTGAATTTAGGATTACATAATATTTGGAAAGTTTTCTATGTAAATTACTTTATGTCATCATCTTAGTTCACTTTGTACTCACAGGCATTTAAAATATTATTACACTGAAGTTCCTCACTAGTGAGAGTACATTATTAAATAGTAAAATAGTACATATACTAAAGATTGATCTGGCTCTCTGTCTTGTTCACTGTTTGAACTGGGCAACTCTTCAGAAATTCTATCTATGGGAACTTGGAGATACCTATATGATAAAAAGATTCTTGGTTCTAGAAGACATCTCAAAGATTTGTGTGCAGAGTAAGCAAGATGTTTTTTACTAGGTTACACTTTTATTTAGATGAATTATGTGAGAACTGGTGGAAGTTACTGTGACCACCAGCAGTCACTGCACTATGCTACCCCACCCCCACCTCTGCTACAGTTGTGCAAACTTGTACCTTTCATTCCAGATTGTCTATAAAGTACAGATAAATATTCTTACCTTACAGAATTGTTATAAAGAGAAAATGGGGTAATACATAAAATGCTTAATATTGAGTCATAAATAGTAAATACAGCAGATGTTAAAATATTTTTATATATACTTTCAGTAAAAGAACTGGAACAATATGATTCTTTTACATATTAGTATCCTAGAACATCTAACTTCAAAATGATTCATATCACTTGTGATACATATTTTTATGCCTTATGTAATATTCAATTTACAAAATGAATACTTCAAAATAGTTCCAAAGCCTAAAGACTTTGAGTTAGATCAAATCAAGGAAAAATGACTACAACTGCAAAGGAAATTCATTGCATCTATTTTAAATTCATTCATCATGGGTTTTGTTAAATTAAAGATAAGGTAATAACTGGAATTAGAAACTAGTGAAAATCAAAGCCTGGTCCAATAAATTAGAACTTAGTCTAACTTTTGAACTATGAAGTCAGTCACACTGTCTCAAGTCTCTTTATCATTCTCATAACATTATACTCATTCTTTGACTTATTAATTTGAGAAATCATACAATAGTTAATTATAAAAGCTGCCTCAATATGTCACTCATAAGATTCAATTAAGGCTTGCATCATTGCCAGTCTATATATAGAAATGATTTTATTCTGGTTGCTTATCTATAATGAGCTGTGTGTGCAGGGGGTGAGAGTATGTGCACATGCATATGTCTGTTTCTGTGTATCTGCAATCTGTCTGTATCATTTTCAACTTTAATAATTCAGGTTTAATTTGGAGAGATAATACTAATAAAGTATCAAATTTAAGAATAAATTCAATTATGAATAAAACAGTCTTTTATTTGAATGACATGTAATTATGGAGTTGCAATGATTCAAACCTCCATCTCTAAAGACTGATAAACCTAAGCCCAAATATTAACCGTGTCACTAGTTATGTGATTTTGGACAAGTTCAAGAGCAATTAAGGCACATTTATCAAATGAGGAAACAATTCACTTTATCCAGCTCTTCTTAGACAATTTCAAATATATTTAAAGATTAGTAATTGCTCTATTACAACACTGAATGATGAGTCTCTCCAATTAAAAGTTATGCAATTTGAGAAATATTTAAAATAATTTTTATAAAAACATAACTTAAACATTAACATCAACTTAAACATTGATTTTTATATATATTTAAATAAAAGAATTAATAAATATGAAACTTTAAAAATTGTCAGCCCACCACCTATACAATTGTAGATTATATTCACAGTTCTTAAAAGGTGGTCAAAACATCTGGGCTCTTTTAAATCTTCTTCCTCCTGGAGTCCCAGTCTAGGACTTTAGACTAAAAGTCTGTATACATTAATAGACCCTCCAGATACAAACTAATTCATACTCACTGGCAAACATTTTTCTAATATGTCTGTGTATATGTATTCAATATGGATTGGCTATGATTTGATATTCCTCTTCTCTTTTAACATCCTATTTAATGAATTCATAGTGCTTTATTGTAAAAATGCATAAAAGTCCATTGTGAAACACAGTAATTTTTAAACTTACCTATAGCAATTTAAAGCTAACAGCTGACAAGCACTTACTAACAGAACATGCTGTTTTAATTAGCAGATAAGATCTGAGAATTCTCAGCATTCTTTTATATGCAAAGAGTAAATGAGCTTAAGTTCTTAAAACAGTTTGTTCTGTTAAATAAGTTAAATATATTCACTGAGCAATCTCATGTGTGCAATTAATTTGCAAAAATAAAAAATAAAAAAATAAACAAAACACAAAACTTAAGTGATCACAAATTTTGAATAAATGGAGTTGAGGCGAATGAGAGGCTAAGCTTTGGTCTGCAAAATTGCACACACATTTAGTCTCTTAATTTTTGACTGCACTTAGTGTTATGGATCATTTTGTGTTATGGATAGGGATGTGAGATACACTCTAGAAATCATGCTCATGTGCATTTAAAAAATCTTTCTATTTATTTTTAATATCTTTCTGTTTAGACTGACAATTGATGCTGAGTGCCAGTTACAGTTGCACAATTTCCCGATGGATGAACACTCCTGTCCCCTGGAGTTCTCCAGTTGTAAGTGTAGTCCTTCTGCATTCTGTATCCCATCTCATGTATAGTTTTTCTGGTTGCAATGTCAATCAAATGGGAAAATTGCAAAGAATTGCAAAATGGCATGAAGCTATGCCTCTGAGTTTGAAGATTTTGACAGGCTTTTAGTTTAATCCCAGTTTGTCTCAATTAGGCAGTTTCTAAAAAACAATTGATCTATTTTATCAGAAACTACAGATAGGTTTCACTGGAGTTCAAAGTTTTAATGAATTGGCAATGTTTGCTTGGACTCACAAAAAGAATGTTGCAGCACATTGCTAGTTAAGACCTACCACACAGAATTACTGTTTTATTGGTATAACATAGGTAAAATGCTTAGTATGCACCCTGACACAGTTAAACTCAATATGACTTCTTATTAACTGTTATTTTTACCAGATAATAAAGTTCCACGAAGCTTCATAACAAACCTAAACCAGATGAAGTTTTCATAAACTTCACAGGTACCTAAACCCAAGCAAGCAAACCTCAGTTTCCCTAAATGTTTGACTTACTTTAGTTCAGTATCTATATTAGGTCTCTTATCTACTACTCATTTTTGGTCTGCCAGTTAGACATGTTAGGTAGAATAAAAAAATGATTATGGATGAATTTTTGTATACTTACTTATGGTGCTGAACATCAAACCCAGGGCCTTGCAAATGATAGACAAGAGCTCTCCCAACAAATTCTCTCTCCAAACCAAAAAAAAAAAAAAAAAAAAACAAAAAAAAGAAAAACCAAATTCCATTATAAAACCTTTTTCATTGACAGTTGTTGCTACATATGTTCATTTAATCATCATTTATCATCATTTTTAACATGAGCTTTTCCATCTCACGGTAGATGGCTACCCACGTGAAGAAATTGTCTATCAGTGGAAGCGTAGTTCTGTGGAAGTGGGTGACACAAGATCCTGGAGGCTTTATCAGTTTTCATTTGTTGGATTGAGAAATACCACTGAAGTAGTGAAGACAACTTCTGGTAAGACCCACTTGAAAAGAATTTTAAATGACCCTTCTAGAGTTAAAATTCTGATATATATGGTTTGAAAGTATTTTCAATGTCTGTCTATAAATGATATTCAGAAAATTAATGAAGTGTTTTAATTTCCTAGAGAAAATTATAATTGCTTTTCTAGTAGAATAGATAAACCTAACTGTATTCTATCAATTTAAAGCAAATTGGATTCAAATTGGATTAATAAATTATTTACTAATTTGTTTAAGCAAAAGTGAATAGCAATTATTTTTAAAAAGAAAATATTTATTAGGTGTAAATTTATTGTTTCTTTTAGGAAATATGTTTTCTAATATATTGAAAGAGGAATATTTGAAATAATCCTACAGAGATAACGTACATTCCACAAATGCAGAAAAATGACTGTAGTGGATATAGACTCATTCTCCATTCAATAATTTAATATTTCAAACTGGCTTTATCAGTGGAAATAAACCAAGCTTTGGGTATTATCAAGTCTGGTCTCAAATCCCAACTCCATCAGTTATGAGCTATAGATGCTGAGCAAATTTATTGAATTTCTAAGGGATCAACTTTCCCAAGTACCCAAATATCGAAGATGGATAAAAAGAACCACTCTCAGGGATTCTCTGTATAAAAAAAAAGTGAAATGCTTAGAATAATGGAATAATACCTACCTGGCACTTAGAATTCAATCAATAGTAAGTGTTACCAAAACTAATTATGCTTATCAGGTATGCATGAGGAATAATGTGGTCAGCACTTTAGATTTTTCAATAGAAGCTAAAGTCAATGTTTTTACATGAAATCTTATAATTTATAATGTTATTATTTATTTGTTTTGAAATGCCAAGTGGTGTGGGTTAAATGTATTTCTAAACAAGAACTTTCTCCTGTGTGTGTTTAGTAGGAACTCTAAAATACTGAATGTATCCTCCATGCAGATGACTCCAATTATTCCTTTTAAGCTTATGTAAATTTAAATAGGTCACGATTTCAAATACATTGTATTCTCAAATTATTGTCTACTTAAGGCTTGTCATTAGAAACATATTTCCATGAGGTTAACAGATTTCTATGGATTTGTTCATACATACCTGTTTTTTCTAGAATTCACAGGACATATTTTTGGGCTAAGTTGGAATAGACATTGGTCTATTGTATAGAGAAAAGAAAATTTAGGGCCTATATAAAGATAAAAATTCAAGATTCTGCTTTTAAAAATACTATTCTATAAATCATAGAGTTTTTTGGTCCTGACACTGTTTTCAGCATTTGCAAGTTTCTTCTCAAGGCTCTTATTCTGCAAAAAAAAAGAAGCAGAAAGGTCAAGTAATGCTTGAGTATATTTTTGAAAGGTGGCCTTCTGTTCCCTTATTCACAGGAAATCCTGGCCATCAAGTACTAGAACAATCTTTCCTTTGGTTTAGAAAAACAAATTAAAAAAGAGGTTCAGGATTGCCTTAGAGCTGTAGTCTTCCATCTGTGAAAGGAAGTGCAAAAATAATCTCCAATCCTCTGTGCTTCTAGAATGCTGTATATTTGTATTTCTATAATTATTCTAGTACCCTAAAATAGAACCCACAAACTCATGACAAGTACATTTTTTTGTTTAGTCATTTGGGGCCCAGAGTAGCACTAAGACCAAATGACAGAAGCAGAAGGGTTGGCTTTACTTCATAGGGTTCAGTGTGACTCTCCTCTCCATGTTCCAATGGAGAGTGATAGAGGACATTTACTGATAATTAGGAGATAATGCCAGGAAAAAATTATCCCCTTATTGTAAGTTTAGCAAAGAGAATTGCCAAGCTCCCACAAGGCTGTTCATCCTTCTGAGGAAATAACAATGAAACAGTATTGAAAACATACTCGATTTCATACCCAGTATCTTCACTTACCAGAATTCATCAACTTCTTTATGAATTTTACTATTATCGGTAGGCTCTACATTTGTTCTCTTTTGCCGTTCCTTGTTCTTATTGGTTTATATTTTGTACACTATTTCAATGACCACTATAAAAAGAAAGGGATGAATTAAAAACTAGCTCAGATACTGACTTATATGAGAGTTCATTTTGTAACCACTGGGAGTCTTTGTTGGATATTTTGTTTGATTTTTAATGCCATTTTTAACTTTGCATTAGTGCTCTATAACTAGTTAATAGCTATAAAGAATACATATTTATAAGTTTTGTGGAAATTATCAGAAGTCCAAGTTATAATGCTTTTGAATAAAGGTCATTATCATAAAGTGATTTTCTTCTAGGCTTGTAGAGAATGTATCTCCCTTCAAGAAGCCTCTGTTATAACTGGACACAAATATTGCCTAAAATGCAACATAGCTCTTTGCAGGGTTTTCTGATCTTCATTCATTCAAGCTTAATAAAATCCAGTCACCTAAGTGGTAACTGTACTTCTTGTTCCTTAGTGTATCAGAAGACTCTGTTGTAAACGAACTGATTGCAAGGAGTCCTGAGATCAAACAAAGAGGAAGACAGATCTAGAATTATACAGGGTATAATTTGTTTGGGACTTCCCGACAGAAGAATGGCTAAGGGCAGCAGAAAGACCAGTGGTTACATGTGATGTGGGGCAGGTGGAGGGGCTTATTGAATGGTGAGGATGAAATGATGTTAGCCAAGCCAGAATGTACCTGGTTTCTCTCAAACTAATGTCAAGAACATCAGACACATTCCTGGAGCTGACAGCACCGGAGTCTGGTGGTAAAGCTCCATGTCTGACGGTAATGGCGTTTATTTATAGCATGCTGGGAAACTATGCTGGGGGGAAAGAGACCAGAGTTGCTACGGGTAACCATGGCAGGTACAAGGCCAGGCACTAATGGTCAGGTTTATCTTTATCTCTGTATTTAGCCCTTTCTTTTTTCTTTACATTGATAGTTTTAGTAAAATAATCTTTTTTATTATATTAAGACAATAAGTGAAAAGCCAGAACCAACTGACAAATTTCAAGTGTGTCTATTTGTGTTGACCAGATGAAAGATATTGAATGTAAGAGAAAGAGAGAGATCACAGATATAGCACAAACTAATTAGTATCCAAGTAAAACATTCTCTTTGATATAATTAAGATAGAAGGAGCATTTCATAGGAAACAATTTTCTCATCAGGTAGTTTAATGCTACTTGAAAGTCATTTCATTCACCACCTGGATCACCTCCTTCACTATCAGTTTTATCTGTACTACACTTGAGAAACATATTTCCTTGGGGGTGGACAGATAGTCCATGAGAAGATCCTTAATTCAGTGTCAGTACATAAGAACAAATTCTGGATCCAGGATTTCTCCTGCAAACCAGCATCTCTCCCTGACTATTCTATATCTGGCAAAAGCAGCACCATTGCCCCAGCGAGCCAGGCGTGAACACTAAAGAGTCATGTGTCTGCCTCCCACATCTAATGAATCATGAAGGCACTTATGCCTCTGAAAAATCTTGTGTAACTGTCCTCTTTCCAGTTGCTACTGCCACTGTCCCAGTTCACAATTTTGTTTGTTCTCATCTGGACTATGTCAGAGGCTTATGAAGCTATGTCCCTGCTGTCAGTCTTCCTTTTAAGGTCCATGCCCTACACAGTAACCACAAAGGCTAGCACATTGCTGCTCACTAACTACATGCATCCTAAAACACTTTGTGAAAATGACCTACTTTAATTTTCAAACCCAGCCATACCTACAATTATCAACACAATGGTCTCATCATCGATGAGGAAATTGAGACTTTCAGGGATCCATTTATTTGCAGGGATCTTGTGCAAGGTCTGGGGCATGAAATCCAGTGATCTGCTTTCAGACACATCATGTAATCATTCTAGATTTCACTACCCCGGGGTCCAATGAATCCCTGGGTACAACTTTCATCAGATGTCAAATATCCAGTAAGTTGGATTAAACACAAGCTTTTATTTCTAATACATAAGAACCTGCTCATCACTTTTCAGCACTGTTTCCTGTACTTTCCCAGATGTGACAGAACTTTAATTAATATTTTTCTGAATTTAACTGACCAATAATATCCTCATATTTAATCATGACTCTTTTTTCTCTCTCTCTCACTTGTGTGACTTTTTAATTCATCCATACCTTCCTATTGTTATGACCTAATGACACCTCCGCAATGAGTCCTTCACTTATCTTAACAGCAAAACAGTTCAGAACTATTACTAAGAACATGAACTTTTAAACATAATTGCAGTTACTTGGGCACTTATTTTACTCCACAATCTCTGACCCTTTTGGCCAGTAAATGTGACAATTTTTTGAATAAAGCTTCCATATTATCTTTAGCCATGCATCCAAAGCACCTGTGCTTCATGAAACAGCTTTATAATTTTTATCATACTCATCTATATTAGCTATTATTTTCTTCCCTTGTTGTATTTAACCTACATTTTGGACTTACATTCCATATGTTAGTCATATTTTCCTAAATTCTACTACAAGAAATATATAACATATGAAAATTAAAAAAAAAAAACCCTCTGTGCATCACTAAATTCATCTTCCCCTTCACCAGTGCATACAAATACAGTTTTAGGAATGCCAGCTTCAAGGATGAAGTCCCTGGTCGTTGCCTGATTTTTAAAATATCTACTACCTACTCCTTATCTTCAAACACTATTTGCCATTCTCCCACTCTACCATCTCCCTTCCTGCAATTTCCTAGAGAGGTTGCACACCTACTCCAGTCTCTGCACATTTTAATTCCATTATTCAATGCCAACTTCAAGTCCACTCTTTTGTGCCTGCATCAACATATACACCCAGGGAAATAATACTCAAAATAGAAAAAATATTCTCACTTTTAAGACTGTGTTTGAATTTACATATATTTAGAAACTAAGAAGACTCATTCTTTTTTATTTTAATTAGGGATATATGATAGCAGAATGCATTTTGATTCATTGTACACAGTTGCAGCACAACTTTAAATTTATATGGTTGTACACGATATAGCGTAGCACCATATGTGACATGTAACTAGAG